TTAACATTGTAATTTTTTCCATATGTTTGACAGATTGGCAATGGATGGAACATAGTTCGGGGAGCATCAAAGGATTATATTTTGAATTTTTTGATATATTTTATCATAGATTTTTGTTATGAATTTGCAAGCTTAAAAGTTTTTTTCGGAATTACATATGTTTGAAGTTTGGGATTGTAAGGGATTTGTACTTATATTTGATGTTTTGAATTTGATATTTTGCTTATATTTAATATGCTACTACTTTTGAATTAAGTGTATATTTCGGATGTTTTAGACAAGTGTGTTAATTTAAATTATATTTTGCTTATGTTTATAGGTTTATGAATTATGTACAGAACATGGAAATTGTAATTTTTTTTTATAAATAATGAATTTTGGTGACAAGTTTTGCAATTGTAAATTTACTTTTGGCGACACTTTGTTCGTGTTGCAGAAAGTCTATGTGAATAATTTTTTTAGTGACCCAAAACTTGATTGATCGTCAAAAGTTTTAACATTCAACAACTAATTCATTTAGTCACTGAAAGATATTTTTAGCGACGCATTTATATGTCGCTAAAACCTAACATGTCACCCGCTTAAGGCTACTTTTAGTGACTAAATATTAATTTATGGCGACGAAATTTTAGTCTTCTGGCGACTGAAATATTTGGTCACCGATTTATTTATAAGGCAACCAAAATTTATTTGGTCGCTGAACCATTTAGTGACAGGGCTTTAGCGACCGATTTTGTTGATGTCGCGGATACTTTCAGCAACCAAAATTACACTTTTGGTGATTGAAAAAAAGGTCGCTAAAAGTGTTTTTTTTTTTTTTTTTTTGTAGTGCTACCTGTTCCAAATAATCATATACTGATTCATAAGGCAATCTTGGAACAATTAATTTTTCTGTCAAGGACAGTGTTATCTAACTTGATCTCATTAGGATTTATTCTTTTAGGTGTAATTCTATCTATTGGCATTCCATTGGTAGGTTCAAATGTATCTACTTCTATAATTTTATGTTGTATTTTAGGATATATGGTATTATCTAACTTGTATATTATTTTCCAAAATATTCTTAATGGATATTTGGTTTCATGCATATTGATTCCTACAGTTTTTATTTTTAGAGTTAAAAATTTATTTATGAATCCATCTTTGAAGCTAATATAATATCCTGGCCTACAATTAAAACCTAATGGTCCTCTACATAGATTATTTTTATTTCACTAATTATGGATCTTTCAAAATTTTGTTATCTAATATTACACAAAAATGCATATATATCTATATCTTGTCTTTTGTCAAATAACGTTGTTATTTGTATTTGTATACTCCCTATATGCATATATTTATATTTATTATCTTTATTATTCTTTAATATATTTTCATAATTTATTAAATTTATTTCTCTTACCTCATATTCACAATCTTAATTTCAATATCTTATTCTATCCTTTTACATATATATTTACTTTTTAATTTGAATATTGATTTATGATATATTTCGTCTTTTCGTATTATTGGTAATATCCAATCTTTTTCTATTTCTTTTTCTTGAGAATTTTCTATGACAAATTGTTCTTCTCTCAAATTTTTTATATTTATTTTTTCTATCATCATAAAATTTAACTCTTCATCGGTGTCGCTATAATTTTCGTCTTCTATTTCTATTTCTTCTTCAATTAAATCTATTATTCCTTTATTATTTCCTAAAGCCAATTCTAAATATTCTTCTTCTTCTTCGAATTCCACATAATCCAGACTTCCTAAGCCTTTTATTATTTTATTATTCTTCATATTTCTGCACTGATTTGCAAAGTGGCCTATTTCTTCACATGTCCAACATTTACAGATCTTTTTTTCTTCTGGACAATAATTATTTTTTCTAAAAAACCTTCTTCTTTTGTTGAAATTATAGGGTTTTTTATAATATTTTCTTTTATATTTTTCTCCTCTTTACTTATTAAAACTTTTTCTTTTATAAAATGTTTTCTTTTCCTTATTATATGTTTTTCTTCTTGAATGCTCACATCCCCATGAATTAGATGTTTGCCAGCAATGTAAATATTGTTTTTTCATTTTTCTTCTTTGCTTTATTTTCATGTATTCTTGCTCTACCCATGCTCTTAGATATTTAATTTTATGACCCAAGGTGTCACTTGTGGTATCTCCTAATTCTTTTAACCATTTTTCATATTTTTCTTCTATATTAACATTTATAGGATATGGTAATTTATGAAAAAATATGGTTAAATGAATTTTATTTCTACCTATTTGATAATAATAATAATAATAATAATAATAATAATAATAATAATAATAATAATAATAATAATAATAATAGGAGTATTCACATATATAATTTTCTATATATTCCATATTACATATTTCTACGTTACTTAATTTCCTGACCCATTCTCTTCTTCTTTTATCTTCATCCCACTCTTTTCCTACGAATTCTTCTTCAGTATATTTTACAAATAGGTTTAACATACACTCTGGGATAGTTTCTGCTATTAATTTTTCTTTACCACTTTCTCTTAGGTTGTCATACCAGCTTACTACTATACCCGTAAAGCTATGTTCAATATAATTTAAAAAAACTTTGTGCGCTCCAATTGCTGCTATGGATATTTAAGACACGGTGCATGCCTCTCTTCATTGTTTTATTACCTTACTTGTATTTGTAGCACAATCAATATTTAATAAATATCATGTATTACTTATTGGTTTTAATGGTACCTCCCTTAAGAATACTTCATTACTAACGATAAAATCAACATAATTGGATATTCCTCTAGCAAAAGATCCTCTATTCAAATAACTATAATGTCCCGTTCTTCTTCTATATTCTTAATTTCTGGTATCATTTTCTAGTTGTTGTCTATTAAAATTTCTAAAATCTGGATGATTTGGATTCGGTAGGGTAGACGAGTTACTTCGTTCTTGTTTTACTACTGTCATATCCATATCATTAACATTATTAGTTTCTTCTCTAAGGCATTATCTTTTTCTATGTCTTCGAAATTTTCTAATACATTATTTTCTTTTTCTTTTTATATGTTATTTCCCATTATTTATCTTAATTCATCAAGGGGAATGTGTTCCATTTCTCCCAAGCTGATTAATCCTAATTGTTTATAGATATTTTCTTCTAATTCTATTCTCTCAATATTTATTTCCTCTATTATTTCTTCATCTACCATATCTAATAGTTCAGTTATTTGAAATATTATCTTATATTTTATTTCATTATCATTTTCTTTTTCAACTATTTCTTCTAATTGTTTTAAGCTATAGTTACTTAATTCTATTTTTTTTTTCTTTCAGGTAAGATTAATTTAAAAGGTTCCTCTGGATTATTTCCTTTATATGGATAGGGATATAGGTTTAATTCTTTTGTTTTTCTTCAAAAAAAGCTACTTGTTTTTTCGGATATTGTATAAAATGTCTAATTTCGTTTATTATTTCCTATTGATTAGTTCCATGTTTTTCGTTAATTTGTTTTAATAACCTAATTAAGGTATTATTTTATTCTATTATTATTTGTAAAGAAATATTATTATTTAAATTATCGGATTCTACTTTTTCACTATATTTAATACTCATGCAAGAGTTATTGACAAGGCCGAGAAACTAAGCTCTGATACCAATTTCTTTTGCGGATTTATTTAATATTAACTCCTTTAACAGTTTTCGTTGATGATCTACCCTGGCCTTTGCTAATGATATTCTATTTTTAATACTAATAATTTTTTGACTATAATTTATTATAGATTGTCCTGAGACTATAGTCAAAAGAAAATTTAATTTGTTCAACTCACTTTCTAATTCAAAAATATAATCCAAACTATCTTTTATTTCAAGTCCAAGTATTGTAATTAAACGCATAAAAATATCAAATTTAAATTTACGAAATTATAATATGTATATATTATACACATTATATATAAATATATATTTTGTAACTTTTTTTTTAGAATTTGGCAGTCAATTTATAATAGAAAAATGCTTGGGAGCACTAATTAGTGTTCCTACTAATTAGGTGGCAGTGGATCCCGCCATTAATGATGTGATGTTTTGGTTTTGAAATTGTATTTTTTTTTTTTTTACTTTTTTAATGCATTAATACTGTTAGTAGTGATGTTTTTAGTGGGATGAATCATTGTTGTTTATAATAATGAGGCCTTTTAGTTGATGAATATTGATGAGATGGGTAGTCCACTGAGATGTGACACTCCGCCTATGTACTGCCTAAGTTTCGTGGATTTTTGTGTTGTTGACAATATAAGCTCATTTTGAAAAAGTGAATTAAAAAGTTTTCAGTTTTTAATACAATTTCTTTTATAAAATATTAAAATAAAATTAAAAAAATAACTTTTAAGCACATGTCAAAATACTTTACTCATAAATATAAAACGTCGTAATATAACATCAAATCCTCTAGTCTCATACCATTCAATACGCATGAATATGGATTTCCTTTTAGTTGATGAATATTGATGAGATGGGTACTCCATTGAGATGTGACACTCCGCCTATGTACTGCCTAAATTCGAGCGAGAAAGTTTCGTGGATTTTTGTGTTGTTGACAATATAAGCTCATTTTGAACAAGTGAATTAAAACATTTTCAGTTTTTAATACAATTTCTTTTATAAAATATTAAAATAAAATTAAAAAAATAACTTTTAAGCACATGTCAAAATACTTTACTCATAAATATAAAACATCGTAATATAACATCAAATCCTCTAGTCTCATACCATTCAATACGCATGAATATGGATTTCCTTTTAGTTGATGAATATTGATGAGATGGGTAGTCCACTGAGATGTGACACTCCGCCTATGTACTGCCTAAATTCGAGCGAGAAAGTTTCGTGAATTTTTGTGTTGTTGACAATATAAGCTCATTTTGAAAAAGTGAATTAAAAAGTTTTCAGCACATGTCAAAATACTTATAAATATAAAATTAAAAAAATAACTTTTAAGCACATGTCAAAATACTCATAAATATAAAGCATCATAATATAACATCAAATCCTCTAGTCTCATACCATTCAATACGCATGAATATGGATTTCCTTTCTAATCTATTAGCAATTACAGGAGTCATAGTTCTGGTCTTCATGTACAATCAATGGAGATCAAGGACTAAATCTAAAACCACAAAAAAGACCAAGTCACCCCCCGAACCAGAGGGTGCATGGCCTATCATAGGTCACATGCACCTCCTAGCCGGGGGAAAGCCAATCGCCCGGCCCCTAGCCGACCTGGCCGACAAATATGGCCCCATCTACAAAATCAACCTCGGCGTCCAGCCGGTAGTCGTGGTGAGCAGTTGGGAAGCCATGAAAGAATGTTTCACCACCAACGACAAGGCCTTGGCCTCACGCCCAGATTCCAGCACAGCCAAGTACCTCAGCTACAACTTAGCACTCTTCGGGATCGCTCCTTACGGGTCCTACTGGCGAGAGATGAGAAAGATTGCAATGCTCGAATTACTCTCGGCTCGTAGACTCGAGATGCTCAAACATGTCAGGATATCCGAGTTGAGTACAAGTATCAAACAATTGTATTGCATTTCTTCCAAAAAATATGGTTCTGGAAAAGGAGTGGTGATCAGTGAATGGATTGAGCAATTGACTTTGAACATAATCACGAGGATGATCGCCGGGAAGACGTATGGAGAAGATGTGGAGGCGCGGAAGTTTAGGAAGGTTGTGAAGGAGTTTATGTTTGTGAGTGGCGATTTTTTGCTTTCGGATTGGCTTCCGTATAGGGTATTGAAATGGGTGGACATGTTGGGGAAATTGAAGAATATTAAAAGGATTATGAAGGAGTTGGATTTGATTGTGGGAAGTTGGATTGAAGAACATGTTGGGAGGAAGAGAGAGGAGAGTAAGGAAGGGGATGAGCAGGACTTTATAGATGTGATGTTGTCTGTAATTGATGACTCGTTTACTCAGGACCACACACGCGAGACTGTCATCAAGGCCACCATACTGGTACGTTTTTAGATACTTGATTTAATTAATCGTATTTACTTTAAAAGAAATCAACAGTCTTTTTTTTTTTTATATTATAATTATAATTGATTGTTTAAAATAATAATAATAATAATAATAATAATAATAATAATAATAATAATAATAATAATAATAATAATAATAATAATAATAATAATAATAATAATAATAATAATAATAATAATAATAATAATAATAATAATAATAATAATAATAATAATAATAATAATAATAATAATAATAATAATAATAATAATAATAATAATAATAATAATAATAATAATAATAATAATAATAATAATAATAATAATAATAATAATAATAATAATAATAATAATAATAATAATAATAATAATAATAATAATAATAATAATAATAATAATAATAATAATAATAATAATAATAATAATAATAATAATAATAATAATAATAATAATAATAATAATAATAATAATAATAATAATAATAATAATAATAATAATAATAATAATAATAATAATAATAATAATAATAATAATAATAATAATAATAATAATAATAATAATAATAATAATAATAATAATAATAATAATAATAATAATAATAATAATAATAATAATAATAATAATAATAATAATAATAATAATAATAATAATAATAATAATAAAGAGAGACTAGACTAAATTGGTCCAGTTGTATACGTGGACAGAGCAGAAAGGAAAATGTTTGAGAGTCACAATTTTTGTGATTACAATGGCTCAAAACTGTCAAAACGACATCGTTTTGGCATATTTTGCACCCAAAACGACGTCGTTTTGGCAGTTTTGAGCCATTGTGACCAAAAAAATTGTGACCCTCTAGCATTGTTGGAGCAGAAATTATGTATTAGGTCAGAAAGATAATGTGTTTATGTGTCTAATTAATAAAATGTCATATTTTATTTATCATCTTTTTATTATTAAGATAATATATTTATTTATGTCATTATTAATTGAGCACACTGAAATTTCTAAAAAAATAGGATACTTCCACGTGGACAGAGACGACCTTAGCCCTATCTTCTTATCAACAAACTTGACGAAATGTCCTTTTTTTTTTTCTTTCTTTTTTTTTATCAGAAAAGTCTTTGTCTATTTGTGGTGGGGCTGTTGCTTGGTGATTAATTATTGATTCATCGAATTTGTTTAATTTAAACAATAATGGTACATTCTTTAATTTTAAAGTTTTAATAGAGTTTTAATAATGTGAAAATTCAAAAAAAAATATATATATATCACATTAATGGGTGAGGCTCACCCCTAAAATTCTTTAAAGCTCATATTTTAAAATTTTTAAATATTTTTTTAATTTAAATTTACTTGAATGAGTCTCTTTTCAAAAAGAGTCGTGTAAATTCGGACTAAATAAAGTTAGTAGATGTAGCTGTATTATACCCATCAATATATGTCATTTTCTTTTGTCTTTTTTAAAGTGATTGTATTATGGAGCATCATATCATTCTAAAATTATTATTAAAAAAAAAATCTATATACAATTTTTTTTATTTATTTAATAATATCTTTTAATAATTCAAGAGAAAGGTTTCATTGAGTATGTCAAAACAAAAGGATAGATTTTGCCTCTGTAGGCTCTTATAGGTCCAATTTTGGGCTCGAGTTGGGTCAGGTCAAAATTACACCCCTATCAAAAGAATCAGAGCATAGATTTTGACTCTGTAGGCTCTTATAGGTCCAATTTTGACGGTTTATTTTATTCATCTTCTTGATATTTGGGAGTCTAGTTATTTTTTTTAGATTAGATTAATTTGATAATTTTAGTTTTATGGCTTTATTGTATTTGTTATTATGATTATTAGATAAATTTAATTTTTTTTTAATTGTTAATCCACATATGAATTTGGAATACATATGAAACATTCAATCAAACCGTAATACTTGAAAACAATAACTCATATATCAACAATAACTCATATTTGTCAGGATAACTTTTTAATTTTTATTTATGAATTATTCCGTATACTTTTAGAAATTACAAATATCCTATTGTCATAATTTTTTATTTAACAAAATTAATATAAAAAATAAAATTTTGAACAAATCTCCTATACAATAAGAAAATTACTTAAATTATTAATTAAAATAGTTTCTAATATTTAGTTGATAATTTATTAATAAAAAAAATCATTTGTTATACGATTAGAAACTTGATAATTTTTTAAAATTTTAAACAAATCTCATAAGGTATATTTATAATTTATTCTTAATTTTAAAAGTATATGACCACATCATTCTACATACATTTTTCTTCATATAATTTTCCATTGCAAAACCCTATCAACTACAAGCTATACTTCGTTCGGTCTCAAGGTTTGAGTTGAGTTGAGTTGGGCTATTTTAGTCATAAAAAGATAAAATGAGTGTTTGGAAAGTTATTATTTTTAGTAGGTTATTTTAGTTTTTGACTATTTTAATAGGCTAAAATTTTTGTATTTGGAAAGATAGTTAGATTTTTTTTGTAATTGGATTGTTAGCTCCAGCCCACATGGGGGAATCAATGAGGCTGGTTCCAAGTTAAGGAGTAGGAGGGAAAAGGGCAGTAGGAAGACCATCTCATTTTTTTTTTATGTTTTAAATGTCCACCGGTTTTCTTGACTTTGTTTTCCTCTCTTTTGTGTATAAATTGAGGTGATGAAGAAGAGATGAAACACAACACAAATAGAGTAAGGCAACACAGAGTGTGAGTGAGAGAGATCTATAGAGCATTGTGAGGTGTGAGTTCTATAATCTCTCTCCGAAATAATTCTATGGTAGAAATTTCTCTTTGTGGGCGTAGGCAATTGCTGAACCACGTAAATCTCTTGTGTCTCATTTTTTATGTGTGTGTGATTGATTTCTGAGTGGTATCAGAATCCAGTTGGAGAAAAAATAGTATTTTTTTAAAAAATATTGTCAAATTTCAAAGTTGTTTGAATCAACTTTTGAGCACAGCAGGAGGTGCATCTCTTTGAGACGATTCCGACGATATAAAATTCATCAAAATCGAAACTAAAACGAGTATCGTAAAGCTCGCCGAAGATTTGCTAGAATTTCGTCGAAAATTTCAGTTCAACGAAGGCATCGGAAAAGGAAGGCTCACTGTGATGTCATCATTGCATCAGCATAATTTCTAAAATTGTATTTCAATCCCTGAAGTTTTTGAAATTGCAATTTAGCTCCTAAAGTTGTGATAAATTGCATTCCAGCCCTTAAAGTTTTTGAAATTGTAATTTAACCTCTAAAGTTGTGCTAAATTTCATTTTAGCCCCTGAAGTTTTTGAAATTTCAATTTAGCCCCTAAAGTTGTGGTAAATTGCATTTCAGTCCCTAAAGTTTTGGGATATTACAATTTGGCCTCTTGAGTTGGGAGAAATTTCATTGAGGTCCCTGAAAAAGTGGGGAAAGTGCTTTTTTGGCTAATTTGACCATTCCAAGCCCAACGGTGTGGTCCGTTTGTCTAAATTCAGATTTTTTGTACAAGTACAAAGATAATGGAGGAATCCACATCAACTTCAAGATCAATGATAAAGTTGAATGCTTCTAATTATGGAATCTAGAAGCCGCGAATGGAAGACATCTTATTATTTGACCTTATTGCTCTAAATGGTGTTAAACCAAAAGCAGAGAAGGATGAAGACTGGATAAAGATGAACTGGAAGACTGTCAGTCAAATCAGACAATGGATAGACCACAGTGTGTTCCACCATGTAGCCCAAGAGACTGATGCATATGTCCTTTGGACAATATTAGAAGGAATGTATCAGTCAAAGACCGCCTAGAACAAAGCCTTGGTGATGAGAAGACCTGTAAATCTAAAGTTCAAAAATGATGTTTCTGTCGCCGAACACACCAGTGAATTCAAGAATCTGGTGAATCAGCTTACAACTATCAAGATGCCCTTGAACAATGAAATGCAAACCATATTACTGCTCAGTTCTTTACCAGATAGTTGGGCAACGTTGGTAGTTTCTCTCAACAACTCTGTACCAGAGAGGAAGCTAACCATGAGTATGGTCACGGATGCCCTATACAATGAAAAGACGAGAAAAAAAGACATGGGAGGTCATTAGTCCTATGCTCTTGTTACAAAAGATAGAGGCAAAGACAGAGGTAGATGAAGAAGCAAGAGTAGAGGCAGATAGAACAACAGGAGTAAAACCAGGGACAGTAAAACTCACGGTAACTCTAGCTTCACTTGCTTTCAATGTGGCTAGGAGGGTCACATAAAGAAGAACTGCCCAAGCCAAAAAGATAAAGGGCAAAGTAGTAAGTCAAAGGGAGATGAGAACACGACAGCCACAACAACTGATGAAATATTTCTTGTAGTTGGTGAAGATGAGGATTACCTTCACGTAGCTAACCACAGCTGTACAGAGTGGGTGATAGACATAAACTGCATCCTATCACACCACTTCCCACAGAGACCTCTTCAGCTCGTACAACGTTGGAGATTTTGGCACTGTTCGAATGAGGAATTCTAACTATTCAAAGATTGTGGGCATTGGAGACATTAGTCTGCAAACTAATGTCAGACACAAACTGGTTCTCAAAGATGTAAGGCATGATCCAGATTTGTACCTCAATCTTATCTCTGGAAGTGCCTTGGATCGACAGGGCTATACATGTACATTTGGAAATGGCAATTGGAAGCTGATAGGAGGAGCTTTGACAATCGCCAGATGAGAGATGTCTTCAACACTGTACAAGACTCAAACGAAGATCTGTCTGGGAAGTCTTAATGTAGCAGAAGACAAGGAGTCACCAGACTTATGGCACAGAAGACTGGCTCACATGAGTGAGAAGGGATTGCATCTGTTGGCAAAGTAATCCAGAATATCTTTATTCAAAGGGAATGCCCTGAAGCCACGTGATCATTGCTTTTATGGCAAGCAGCATTGAGTATCATTCAGTTCAACGAGGAAGAGGAAAATAGAAGTGCTCAGTATGATATACTCGAACGTTTGTGGCCTAATTGAAGTGAAGTCACTTAGCGGCCGCAAGTATTTTCTAACTTTCATTGATGATGCATCAAGGAAATTGTGGGTGTATTTCTTGAAGACGAAGAATGAGGTATTTTAGCACTTTCAGGAGTTCCATGCAATAGTGGAAAGAGAGATCAGGAAGAAGTTGAAGTGTCTTCACACAGACAATGGTGGCAAGTACACTTCCAATGCTTTTGAAGCATATTGTGCTAGTAGAGGTATCTGGCACGAGACAACAGTTCCCGGTACCCTACAACACAATGGTGTGGCAAAGAGAATGAACCGCACTATTGTTGAAAGAGTCAAATGCATACTTAAAATGGCAAAGTTGCCAAAGTCATTATGGGCTAAAACTGCCCGTACAGCCTGTTATCTCATCAACAAGCCGCCTTTAGTCCCATTGAATTTTGTGATACCTAAGGAAGTCTGGTCCAGAAGAAATGTATCATATTCTCACTTGAGAGTCTTCAGATGTAAGGCGTTCGCTCATATCTCTAAGAAAAATAGACAAAAACTTGATGACAAGTCCACTCCATGTATATTTGTGGGCTATTCAGATGTAGCATTTGGGTACAAGTTGTTGGACCCAGTGAACAGAAAGATATTCAGGAGCAGAGATGCGTTCCAAGAAGACCAGACAGTAGCAGATTTTGAGAAGTCTGCAAAGCCTAGAGATGTCATCACTCCAGACTTGTTACCATCTCCCGAGCTATCACAAAATGCTAGATATGATGATGTACAACAAGAAGTACCAGAGTTGCAGGATCCTATGCGAGAAATTGAAGACCAAGAGAAAAGAGATGAAGGCCATGATGAAAATGGTGTTGAGCAGGGGGAGCAACCTCATTAACCAGAGGCAACTAGGCCTCAATTGTGAAGATCTAGAAAAGTTGTCAAGCCATCAACCAAATATCCTGCTTTTCAGTATATTCTGATTACTGATGAAGGGAAGCCCAAGAGTTTGCGAAAGTAAAGAGTCATACAGAGAAAGACTATTAGATGCAAGCCATGAAGGATGAGATGAGTTCTTTGCAGAAAAACCACACTTATGAGCTTATTCTACTTCTAAGAGACAAGAGGGCCTTAAAGAACAAATGGATGTATAAGTTGAAGAAAGATGGCAACGGTAAACTACTGTAGCACAAAGCTCACTTGGTGGTTAAAGGTTTTGGACAGAAGAAGGGAATTGACTTTGATGAAATCTTCTCCCCAGTTGTGAAGATGACTTTCATTCGAGTAGCTCTAGGATTAGTAGCTCGCTGGAATCTGGAAGTAGAACAGATGGATGTCAAGACTGCCTTTCTCCATGGTGATTTGGAGGAAGAGATCTATATGGAACAACCAGAAGGATTTGAAGTCAAAGGGAAACAGAATCCAGTCTGCAAACTGAAGAAGAGTCTCTACGGCCTGAAACAGGTACTAAGACAATGGTACAAGAAATTTGATTCATTTATGATGGATCATAAGTACAAAAGAACAATAGTGGACCAGTGTGTATACTTCCGAAAGTTTTCGAATGGAAACTTCATTATCTTACTGTTGTATATTGATGATATGTTGATCATCGGACAAGATACTGCCATGATCAACAAGTTGAAAAAGGACTTGTCGCAGTATTTTAACATGAAGAATTTAGGCCCAGCACAACAGATTTTGGGCATGAAGATTTTTCGTGACAGGAAAGCCAAGAAGATATGGCTTTTACAGGAGAAATATGTTGAACAGGTGATTGAAAGGTTCAACATGAAAGATGCCAAGCTAGTCAGCACACCACTGACCAACCATTTCGAGGTATCAAAGCGTTCCTGTCCCAAGATCAGCTCTAAAAGGAAAGAAATGGGGGCAATCCCTTATTCTTCCGCAGTAGGAAGTTTGATGTATGCAATGGTGTATACCAGGCCAGATATAGCTCATGCAGTTTGTCGTTGTAAGCAGATTCCTCGCCAATCCAGAGAAAGAGCATTGTAAGGTGGTCAAATGGATTCTTCAGTACTTGAAGGGAACTTCAAAGATGTGTCTATGTTTTGGGGGAGTTGAACCAATTTTGAAGAGATTTACAAATGCCAATATGGTGGGTGATCTTGATGGTAGAAAATATACATCAAGATTTATGTTCACCTTTATAAGAGGAGTTGTTTCATGGCAGTCCAAACTACAAAAGTGTGTCGCTTTATATACAACAGAGGCAGAGTACATTGCTGCTGCAGATACTAGAAAAGAAATGTTATGGTTAAAGCGGTTTCTCCAAGAATTGGGTCTACAACAGGAAGAGTACAAGGTACATTGTGATAGCCAGAGTGCAATTGATCTGAGTAATAATTTCATGTACCATTCACTTAAAAAGCACATTGATGTCCGGTATCATTGGATACGAGAAGTGATGAAAAAATAGTTAATGAAGCTAATGAAAATTCACACGGACAAGAATCCTTCTGACATGATGACCAAGGTTGTCACTAGAGACAAACTGGAAGTTTGTAAAAATCTGACCGGGATGGACTTCTAAGTGAGAAGTTAGTTATCCATATGGGCATGGAGGGAGAGAATTGTTAGCTTCAACCCACGTGGAGGAATCAATAAGGTTAGCTCCAAGTCAAAGAGTAGAAGGGGAGAGGGCAGTTGGAAGACCATCCCATTTTATTTTTTTTCTTGTTATAGATGTGCACTGGTTTTTTTGACTTTGTTTCTCTCTCTTTTGTGTATAAATTGAGGTAATGAAGAAGGGATGAAACGCAACACAAACAGAGTGAGACAACACCGAGTGTGAGTGAAAGAGTTCTATAGAAGGTTGTGAGGCGTGAGTTCTGTAACCTCCCTTCGGGATAATTCTATAATGGAAATTTCTTTCTATGAATGTAGGTAATTGTCGAACCACGTAAATCTCTTGTGTCTCATTTTTTCTATATGTGCGATTAATTTCTGAATGTGTTTAATCCTAACATGGATGTGATATTTGTGCCGAAAAAAATGAAATAATTATGAGTTTGATATGACATTTTGTCTGATTAACTATTTTAATCTATTTTGTTATTTTGTGAATTTTAGCCTAAAAAATTAAAAAATAAGATAAATTATTACATCTAAATCATAATCAATTTTTTTTTCTTTCACAAAAATTAAAAAAACCAAAAAATTCATTCCAAATGAGACTTTTTAACCCTAGACTAAAATAATTAAAAGAAAAGAAAAGAAAAGAAAATGATATAGACCCCAAATAAATTATCAATTCTTTTACCAAACCTCTCACATAGGTATAAGATCCACACAAATCACAAGTGTGTAGATCTCATATCTATGTAAAATGTTTAATAAAAAATTTAATAATTTATTTGAGATGTTAAAAAAAATCAAAAAACCGACCCAGATCCAACGAACGCATTATTTGCTAACATTTCACCCAACAACAGAACATCATCTTAGCAGGCTCCGACACCACCGCCATAACCTTGACATGGATCATGTCCGCACTTCTCAACAACAAGCACGCACTCAGCCGTGCCCAACAAGAGATCGACACCAAAGTCGGCAAAAACACATGGGTCGAAGAGTCCGATATCAAGAATTTGGTCTATCTCCAAGCCATTGTCAAGGAAATTCTTCGTCTCTACCCACCAGGCCCCATAGCTGTTCCCCACCAAGCCACTGAAGACTGCCAAATCGGCGGCTACGATATTCCCAAGGGCACTCGCTTGTTCCCCAACGTCTGGAAGCTGCACCGAGACCCTCGGGTTTGGACCGACCCGGATGAGTTTGTGCCCGATAGGTTCTTGACGACCCATGCGGAGGTTGATGTGTCGGGCCAGCAGTTTGAGTTCACTCCGTTTGGATCGGGTCGGAGGGCTTGCCCCGGGATTGGATTTGCGTTGCAAGTGACGCACTTGACGATGGCTCGGCTGCTTCAGGGTTTTGACTTTGCGACGCCGTTGAATGAGCCGGTGGACATGACTGAAGGCTTGGGTATTACGTTGCCCAAGGCAACTCCGCTGGAAGTCATCGTCACCGCTCGGCTTGACTCTCAACTTTATGAATGAATCATCCACTAGCTATCTGATCTCAAAACAAAAAAAAAAAAAAAAATTGATCCACTAGCTAGGCCGAAAGACATGTTGTATCTATCTGTCTATTGACCTTAAATAATAATCCGTGGGTTTAGTTTGAATTTTTGAATTTAATTTTTTTTAAATTGAATTTTTTATTTTTTTATTTTTAGTAAATATTTTTAAAATTTTAAGTAATTTTTTATTTTTTTAGATGTACTTTATTTAGATATATCTAAAATGTAAAATATTTTTAAAAAATAAATAAATACATTAAAAATGTAAAAAATGTACTGAATTTTTATGTTTTTGGCATTTAATAAATAAAAATGCTAGAGATTTTAAAAGTTGTACCAAATTTCTACCAAATGTTTTACATATAAGATATTTGATAGAAATTTTGGTACAACTTTTAGAGTCTGTAGCATTGCTCTTTAATAAATTTTTTAAAGGTTTTTTTTTACAAATATTATACTTTTTAAATGTATTTATGTTGGGTGTATTTAAAAATTAAAAAAATTATTTAGAATATTAAAAAAATTTAATAAAAATAAAAAAATATGTAAAAATAAAAAAAATTAATTTTTTAAAAAGTGAATCTTAAAATTCAAATCAAACCAGCTTAATAGTGTCATAATTACATTAATGTATCATATTTTGGGCAGGGTGGAGTTTGTCTCTAATTTATGGTGTAAATTTTGGACCGATTCAATTCTATTGTGCTGTCGTTTGACATATTGGGTTAGGAGATTTTTTTTTTTTTTGGTTAAAATTGTCATAAAAAGGTGAAATAGAGTAAAAAATTAATAAGATAAAATATTATATTCAAATCACAATTATTTTATTTTTTTTTCATAAAAATAAAAATAAAAATAAAAAAACAAAAAACTTAACCTAAACGGAATTTTTAATCCCAAGTTAATAGTCAAAAAATAAAAAAATTAAAAGGCCAACTCACTTTCTAAACGAAAGTTGTATGAGCATTCCTATTATAAGCTCCACTTCAGTATTTTAATCTATTTGTGGGAGTTGAGAATAAAATTCATGGCGCCCAATTACGTATATCACAGAGCGGATTCTAATTAGAAAAACATATCAAGGTATATGAAAAGGAAAATGTTACGGACCTTAAATGATTTACTAAATTTTTTATCAAATTTCTCACGTGGAGCACATACAAACTCACATGTAGATAGGTTTCATGCTCATATAAGAGATTTAGTAAAAAATTTAATAAATCATTTGGAATCTCTAGCATAACTCACATGAAAACGCTATAGAGTTCGTTTGGGAAGTGAGTTGGCTTTTTGGCTTTTTAACCTTTTGGCTATTTTAGCCTGAGGCTAAAAAGTCTCGTTTGGGAAGGACTTTTTGACTTTTTTGACTTTTTTGTGAGAGAAATGATGTAATGATTATAGATTAGATGCGATGTTTTGTCTTATTAGATTAAAAAACTTATTTTATCTTTTTTGTGACTAAAATAATCTTAAACCTAACTCAACCTTTCTTCTCAAGCGAAGCCTAACATGCTAAGAGATGTTGAGCAGAAAGGAATTTACTCAGCGATCAATTGCAACCAACGGAAACAGAGGGTTCGATTGCGCCAAATTACTTTCTAGTTGTAATAATCCCGACCTTTGATTAATGTTAATTCGTACTTAATTATGTCTAACCGTAATTTAGAAGGAATCTGAGATTAATTTGCATATGTATTGCATTAATTCTGTGTTTCTATCTGTTTGCTATAAAGTGATCTGTTTATGTGTTGACTTTGAACTGCGAATTGAAAGTCTTATCGGCGTCCGAATCGGAAATTGACTTAATTTATGTGCTAATTAGGATTTATGGAATTTTATAGTAGATTTAATTAAGATTCGGTTCGGAACAATTAAATTTGATTAAAATAATGCTAGATTTAACATAGATTAAGTGAATGCAAGTTAATTACATCATTGCCCTTTGTTTCTATCTGTTTGCTATAAAGTGATCTTTTTATGTGTTGACTTTGAACTGCGAATTGAAAATCTTATCGGCGTCCGAATCAGAAATTGACTTAATTTATGTGCTAATTAGGATTTATGGAATTTTATAGTAGATTTAATTAAGATTCGGTTCGGAACAATTAAATTTGATTAAAATAATGCTAGATTTAACATAGATTAAGTGAATGCAAGTTAATTACATCATTGCCCTTGAGTGAGCCACTTTCTCATACATTGTTTAGAATTAGTTCACACACCATTTTCAGCCTCTTTCCTTGCCAAAACCGTGAGAGAGAGAGAGGGAGTGAGGGAGGAAATTGAATTCATCTAGAGATTAGCTTGAAGAGTTAGAGAAATTGAAAAAGGATTGCATGTTTAAGCTTCCACAATTGGAATTGAAGACCTTAAGGTAGAGAATTCATCCTTTTAATTATGAATGTGAGTTGTTCTTGCTAGGTTTATGGTGAAATTGGTATTTAAAGTCAAGATTTAGCTCAAAGTGTGGTTTTGAGAGTCCATGCATGCATGCATGCATAAATTTCCATTTGAATTCTAAGATTTCTTTCATGCATGTGTTAATTTCACTCACATTATGGTCATTCATCTTGTTGTCGATCAAATTATCAAGTTTGATCATGTTTTGGAGGGTTTGGATTCAATGAGAATCTTGCATGTTGTATTAAAAGCATGTTCTTAGAGTTTATGTTGATTTTGCACAAATTGGGTTGCTCTTGGGCCATGACTTCTTGAAATGATTTTTAATACATGTTTTATGAGTTATTTTATGTTTCCTCAAACATTGGCCTAGAAAAATGAGTTTTGAAGGCTTAAAGGTTGAGTTTCATGCTTGGAGGTCAATCTGGATTTTTCAAAAATTTGACCCACGCTCGAGCGGGTACTTTCACGCTCGAGCGTCGATAGTTACGCTCGAGCGTGAAATGCGTATACCCAGAAGTTTGTGTGTTTTGCAGTCCGCTCGAGCGGAGGAAACCACGCTTGAGCGAGACTCTGAGTCTCACGCTCGAGCGGGGGTCGAGCGCCCGTCGAGCATGAAAATCTTGCATCCAGTACTTTTGTCGATTTTACAGTCCGCTCGAGCGAGGAAGTTCACGCTCGAGCGGAGATTCCATATCTGCATGTCCGCTAATACATGTTTTATGAGTTATTTTATGTTTCCTCAAACATTGGCCTAGAAAAATGAGTTTTGAAGGCTTAAAGGTTGAGTTTCATGCTTGGAGGTCAATCTGGATTTTTCAAAAATTTGACCCACGCTCGAGCGGGTACTTTCACGCTCGAGCGTCGATAGTTACGCTCGAGCGTGAAATGCGTATACCCAGAAGTTTGTGTGTTTTGCAGTCCGCTCGAGCGGAGGAAACCACGCTTGAGCGAGACTCTGAGTCTCACGCTCGAGCGGGAGTCGAGCGCCCGTCGAGCGTGAAAATCTTGCATCCAGTACTTTTGTCGATTTTACAGTCCGCTCGAGCGAGGAAGTTCACGCTCAAGCGGAGATTCCATATTTACATGTCCGCTCGAGCAGGGTAATCCACGCTCGAGCGTGGAACTTATCTTCAACAAAATTTAGGAAATGATTTTCAAGGCATTTTTGCATCATCATTCCATCCTAGGCATTCCTAGGCCATGTTTAAGGCCCTTTAATGAGGATTAAAGGTTAGAAACACACTAAGAGCCAACGACGTAAGTTTTGTACAATTAGAACGTGTATTTCAAGTGTGTATCTGTTATGTGTTATGTAGGTCACGTGCCGTGTTCTGTCTGACTAATCTGCTCCGTCTGTTTGTCTCAAGGCCAACTGTGAGTAATAACTTAGTAAAGTTATGTTCAACTGTATCTATTTTTTGTGTGATAAAATAAGATCTGTTTTCTGAAATGATATGTTCTGTACAATGAATGATTGTTCAATTTCTAATATGTATTCGTGACATCCTTAGCATCATGTGATATCTATTGGCTGTTACCCGGTATCAGAGGTTCCTTTATGGAACTTATATCCATCTGCACTCTGTTACCCGTACTGGAGGCCCCGTCATGGGGGCTCAGCTTCTGTTCTGTTATTCGGATCTGGTGGTTCCTTTAAGGAATTGGTTACTTGTAACCTTCACGTGTCTGCCTCTGTTCTGTATCTGCTCTGTTATTACTAATGGATGTATCACGTAAACTCAAGCATGACTTATTATTTCTGTATATGATCTGGACCAATTATGGATTTGATACGAAACTGAATTATGATTTCTGAATCTGTACAGACTCATTCATTGAAACCCCTTTACTCTGTTATTATTCACTGAGCTTTCGCTCACAGTTTATATTATGTATGCAGGTGAGCCGGCGTGTGACCAGGGCCAGAGTTGACGGCCTTCTATTCTGTTTCTGTCAGCCAACCGGTTGTGCCTCCCGAGGAAGTTCCGATCGAAGTCTAATGCCATGGCTGTTTTTGTATTCATGCTAGTCTTTGTGACTGTTTTGTAAAGTCAAGTCTTGGGATGTGCACTTCTGTAAATACTTTGTAAATATTGGCGTCCTTTGACTGGCATGCTCATGTATATATATAAGTTTTGAAATCTACTGTCTTATGTACGTTACCATAGCTCATTGGACCTTGTCTATTTTATATATTTGCTTCCGTAGCCCCTTATTATATGCTTATCTGTTCAGAGGCCTTTGGTAATCACGGATTACTAGCCGGTGACGATGCCTAACCTACAGGGGTGGGTTTGGGTTGTGACACTAGTAGAAGAGAAGTACATACTATTAGGATTACGCACACTCAGAAATCAATCTCTCACACACAGGAAAGTGACACAGGAGATTTACATGATTCGACAATAGACTACTTCCGCAGGGATAGATTTCACTGTGGAATTTGTCGGAGGGAGTTTACAATACCCACAACTCACTCTCTCTCTATAACACTCTCACTCACTTAGATTACGAAAACACACTCTGTGCTGCCTTATTTTCTCTTCCTCTCAACATCTATATATATACACAGGGAGAAGGAAACAAAGTCAAGAGAAAGGAGTAATTGG